TCCTTATTCCCAGCTACTTTCCAAGGCTGTCAGGCTTGCCATGAAGCACCAAACACACCTGGAGTAGCAGCTGGCAGGCCAGAGGGAGAGACAGGCATGGGAGCAGCCAGCTGCCTGGACCAAAGGCCAGAGTTCCACGTGCCACACTTGGGGAATGGCTGTTCCATCACCTGGGTGAAACAGAAGCTATCTCAGAGGGCAAGGACATTGCCAGAAAGCTATGGGGTTTCTTTGCCTCAGGCTCCATCCCAGAGAGTGTTGTGGAGAAACCTACCCCAGGCTCTCTGTGCAGGTAGCAAAGATAAGGCACTGTCAGAGACTGAGGTGTCAAAAGAGGAGGTTCTGGAACAAACATTGTTTACACTACACTAGCGCTGCCTCCCAAACTCCTGAAGGATGTAGCTGAGCCAAAATATTTAAATATAATTTAAAACCATTCAAGTTACCTACTATAAAGGAGGGGCTGAAGGGTGTTGTATTAAAAAAGATGGTAGGGAAGAGGCAGAGATTACAGACCAGCTTCCATACCAGCTACATGGATTGAAACAGGCATTAAAGCAATCCAAACCTAGATGAGGACGATATGAGGGGATGTGACCAAAGGAACCTACTGGGATTCTCTAGAGCACCTCAGCAGAACAGTGGATGAAGAAGATCCAGGTGACATCCTTTATTCCGACTTCCAGAAAGCCATTGGCAAAGCTCCTCCAAGAAGCCATGAAGGGAACCAAGACGTTGTGGGGTGAGTGGTGACGTGTTGTTATGGATTGGATACTGGGAAGGGACAGGGCACAAAGAGCAGAGCTCAGTGGTCAGTTTTCCAACACAGAAGATTGGCAGTGGGCTGACAATGGGAAGCAGTGTGGTCTGACGAATGGAGCACTGGCCTAGGAGCCATCAAATGAAGGGTCTGCTCCTGACCTGCTCTGTGACCTGGACAAGTCGTTTCCCCTCCTGTGTCTATTTGGATAATAAGCTCTATATACAGACAAGAATATCCAGAGTAAATACTAAACATCTCCAGACAGGTTTTGGAGAGGATATGAAGCCTCAGGCTTCGGAACTTAACGATTCAGGGTTAAGAGAAAACTTTTCCTGGAGACAGATAAGCCTATAACTGCTCACTGCAGAGCTTCTTCACTTTCCTCTGAAGCATCTGGGCTGGCTACTGTTGGAGGCTGGACTAGATGGACCATGATCTGATCCAGTCTGGCAATTCCTATATCCTCATGTTCTTTGGAGCAGGGCCTGTCTCTAACTATGTGTCAGCAGCCAGAACAAAGGGGCCTAATCTTGGTTGGGGTCTCTAGATGCTGATCTAATACCAATAACATATAATATGGAGTAGAGTTATATTATGAAGGTCTATCAGCTGCATTTGTACATGCAGACAGAGAGATGTTTAATGGATCTGACCCAAGTTAACCATTTGGAAGGAGGTTAATTAGCATCCCTGATGAATGTGTAACAAACACCTCTTGTGGATCTGCCCACAAAGAATTATGAGGCTGGGGAGGGGAGATGTCTGTCATGCAAACAAACCGCAAGAACTGGGTAATCGCCTTTGTGAGGGGTGTCAATGGCTGAGGATCACTAACCCAGGCATATCAAAAGAACTGAAACACTGACAAGGCTCTTGAAATACAGATCACAGCAGGGAAAGGCCCTGGGGGTTAAAGGAGATGGATGGAGGATAGCTGGGCTCTGACAAACAGAATGTCAGGCCTCATCTACACAGGAAAGATTTTTTTAGTTTAGGCTAAGGCCTTGGCTACACTTGGGAATTCACAGCGCTGCCATAGCACTGTGAAGCACAAGTGTAGTCATGCCGCCAGCGCTGCGAGAGCTCTCTCCGAGGGGAATAGCTTGCAGCGCTGTGAGCAAGCGTGCAGCGCTGCAGGCGCTGATTACACTGGTGCTTTACAGCGCTGCACTCACTGCGCGGGGGGGTGGGGATGGGTGCGTTTTCACACCCCTGAGCGCAGCAAGTTGCAGTGCTGTACAGTGCCAGTGTAGCCAAGGCCTTAGTGTGAATTTAAACCAGCATATATCTCTCACCATGTGGACAGCTACTCCAGTTAAAGCAGTTTTTTTCTGGTTTAGCTTATGTCGCTTGGGACAGGGTTTAAAATAAGCTGAAAAAAGTCACTCCTATACTGCAATAAAACTGTCCACATGGGGGTTTAACTGATATAATAGTAAAACTTTTATAACTGGTAAAACTTTCCTGTGTAAAGAAGAAAAGGATCACTGATGTCTAGAAATTTAACATATTTTCCTTTTAGTCTTCTGTAACTAAGCTGAGAGTACGTCATCTAGTGTAGTTTACAAGCAGTTTAAATCTAGATATGTCATGCAATTCGTTTCTTTGGGTTTACTAGAATAGTTTCTCTATTTTGAATATATCTGGTTTGTTTTTAAGGAGACAGGAGTAAGACTAAGTAAGGATGAGACTCTTTGGGTAATTTCACTGCGGATAACCCAAGAGAGCAAAAGTGTTCTATTCCCAGTCCTGCCACTGGCCAGCTGGGTGACCTCGGGCAAGTCCCTTACCCCTCTTTGGGTCTCTGGCCAGGTCTACACTATAAACTTACATCAGTATAACTACATCGCTCAGGGGTGTAAAAAATCTTGTGGAGGTGGATTAAATATGCCAAGGGGAGAAGCTCTCCCGTTGGCATAGTAGTGTCTTCACTGAAACTGCTGCAGTGCAACTGTGCTGCTGCAGCATTTTAAGTGTAGACCTGCCCTCTGTCCCCCTCCCCATTTGTCTGTCTTGTCCATTTAGCCTGGGAGCTCTTTGGGGCAGGCACTGTCTCTCAACATGTGTATGTGCAGCTCCTCCACAGTGGGGCCCTGATCTCAGTTAGGGACTCTAGCCTGGATTGTAATGGAAATAATAAGCTGAGAATGCTGATGGCTGCCTAGAGCTCACCACTCGACTTGGGACAAAGGATAGGGACGAAGGGGACTCTGATGTGTCAGAACAAGGAACAGAGAGATGCTGACACAGCAAAGAGGAGATGAAGATGATAGGTAGGGTGTCCTGTGGTTCTGACTTAGAATTTGTGTTTAATATATTTATTACTGAAGGAACAGGATGAGCAGCGAGGTGACAACATTTGCAGATGACACAAAAATATTTCAGTTTAGTCACATATAAAGGAGGCTGAGTGCAGAGGGATCTAGCAAAGCTGAGGCCATATGATGGCAGAGGGAATTCAGTGCAGATAAGTGTGAGGTAATGCACTGGACAACAGCCTTTATATTTTTTAATGAAGATTCAATTTATCTAGGAAGTGCTTAGATACTACTGTGATGGGTGCTATCAAAACCCTACTATAGATAGATACGAGATATTTTTTATAACTTTCCATTCACTTGATTAGGGAGTGCTGCTTAAAAATTAATGGCACTACATGGCCAATGAAAAGGAACAAGATGAACTACTCATACACAATGCTAGTAACATCTCAGGAAAAAGGCCTACAAGTCTTGGTGGACAACTGAATGAAAAGCTCTGCACGATGTGCAGCAGTGGGTAACAAAGAAACACACACACACAAGACATATAAACAGTTGGATAGAAAATAATACTGAGAATATTCTAATGCCACTATATAAATCAATGGCGTGTGTAGTTCTGGTCACCCCATCTCAGAGAGGACATAGGAGAAACGGAAGGTATTCAGAGATGGGTGACAAGAATAATTACAGGCCTGGAAGAGACTTTTGTATGATGAGAGACTGAAAAGATTGGAACTGTGTCAGAGAAGAGATTAATGAGAAGACATAGTAGAGGTGTATAAAACAATAAATGGGATAGAGAAGATGCTCCTATTTGCCCTCTCTCTCCATACAAGAAAAAGGGCACAGACAATGAAACTGAGACATAAAATGTAAAACTGATAGACATGCTATTCTACACAATGCATAAATAACCTGTGGAAATCTCTGCCACAGGGTGTATGGAGCAAACAGTAGCGTTGACATTAGACATTGATGTGAAGAACAGAAATACCATCCCTAGTTACAATGGCTAGGAGGAACATTTATAAGGGGTGTTTATGTAAAGAGCAGAAGCCAGCCACCCATTTCCTGGATAGATGCAGCAGCTTTCCCCCATGAGTAGGCTACTAGAAAACTTTTCATTAGGGGAGTTTCACACCTTCCTTTGAGGGAGGTGGTAATAGCCACTTTTGGAGACAAGTGATGGCAGTAGAAGGACAATTGCTCTGATCCTATGGATGAGAGACCATTCTAGAGTGCTGTGTCTAGTTCCGGTGTCCACACTTTAAAAAGGCTGTTGCAAAATTGGAGAGGATTCAGAGAAGGGCTACACAGAATGATTTGTAACATGCCTTACAGTGAAAGAAAACTTACGGAGCTCTAGTTATTGAAGGGTAGATTAAGAGGGGATCTAATCACAGTCTGTAGGTATCTAGATGAGGATCATATTGCTGATACCAGAGGGCTCTTTACTCTAGCAAAGTTCCAGTGGCTGGGAGCTGAAGTCAGCAGTGTTCAAACTGAAAATAAGAGGTAAGATTTACGGGATTGTAGTGAATCCTGGGAACAGATCCCAAAGGCTGCGGTGGATTCTCCATAACCTGGAGCATTTAAACTGAGTTTGGATTCCTCTTTCTAAGACACACTTTCTCAGTCAACCACAAGTTACTGGGCTGGACGCAGGAGTTACTGGGTGAGATTCTCAGGCATGTGATGTGCAGGAAGTCAGACTAGATGATCTAATGGTCCCTTCTGTTCTGAACATCTATGCAATCTCTGTGGTCGTTCCTAATCTCCAGAAGACAAATCCCCACCATGCAGACAGCTCCCCACAGTGGAGCCCACACTGATCCCTGCATGATCCTCAAACGTCCAGCTGTTCAGAATGTTTGGGTGGGGAAGGTCAGTAGCGGGTTTTCGCCCTTGTGGATTTTCTCATGTCTCTTGTGGTGGGAGCTGTGGCTGAAGCCCTTCCCACAGAAGGTGCAGATGTAGGGCTTCTCGCCCGTGTGGATGCGCTGGTGCTGGGTCAGGGTGGACTTGTCAGTGAAGCTTTTCCCACAGTCAGAGCACGTGTAGGGTTTCTCCCCGGTGTGGATGCGCTGGTGCCGGAAGAGGTTGGAGCTGACACTGAAGCTCTTCCCACAGTCAGTACATTTGAAGGGCTTCTCGCCAGTGTGGATCCTCATGTGCTTGATGAGATCAGCATTCTGGCTGAAGCTCTGCCAGCACTCGGTGCACGTGTTCAGCACCTCCACCTTCCTCCTGGCCTTGGCCTTCCCCACGGCACCCTCACGCTGCTGCGGTGACGAGCACTTGCCTGGCCTCTTGCCCATCAGGTGCCGCAAGTGCTTCTTCTTGTGGGAGCTGCGGCTGAAGCTCTTCCCACAGTCAATACACTTGTAGGGCTTCTCACCCGTGTGGACACGCTGGTGCTGGGTTAGGTTGGACTTGTCGCTGAAGCTCTTCCCGCAGTCAGGGCAGGCGTAGGGCTTCTCGCCCGTGTGGATGCGCTGGTGCCGGCTGAGACTGGAGCTGACGCCGAAACATTTCCCACAGTCAGGGCATTTGTAGGGCTTCTCATCTGTGTGGGTTCTACGATGGTTGATGAGGCTGGAGTTCTGGGTAAAGCTTTTCCCACACTCGATGCAGATGTTGGGGCTCTCCTCCGTCTGGGTTCCCTGGTGCACCACAAAATCCTTTCGCTTCTTAATTCCTTGGATGAGTTTCACCGGTCTCTTCTCCATGGGTTCTGGCTCCTCTGGCCTGCACTGGCTCTCACAGGGTTTGTTCTGCTCAGGGCTCTGGCTCACAGTCCTCTTGGATTTCCTGGGTGACATCTTCAGCGTATTGGCTTCCCTGGATAATGATTCAGCTCCTTACAGTCAGTTGTACCCCATTGTGAGCTGCAAAATCAAAACAACTCTTCAATTAATTTCTTTAAGAATGTATTAGTATTTGTGGAGCATCCATCAGAAATACCCACTCAGAGAATATTAAATTCTTAGTCCCTTTATTACCGTACAAAGCCATCACCTAGCACCAAGACTAAACCTAATGAGACATTTTTAACACCCCAGTAATAGATTCTCTGACTCAAACACTAGAAAAGAGCATAATCCAAGGAGCTGCTTTGGGGGATCCCTCTGACCGTGTCCCCAGGGCAGCACATTCCCCCAGCAGCAGGGGGAATAGGCAGAGGCAGGAACTGGCTTTTCCGCTCTTTGCTCCTCACCTTGTCCCAGGAAAGTCAGTCTGCCCCGGGGTGCTGCAGGGAATGGGGCTGGGCAGGGCTGGGAGCCAGGAACCTCCTTCCCCACTGATTGCTCCTGCTGCCCCTTCCAGTCTCTATCCCTGTCTCCCTCCGGCCCCCTCTCCTCCCCTCCGCTCTCCCGGAGCTGGCTCGGCTCCTGCAGGCGCTCAGGGGAGCAGAGCCTGGGGGAAGGAGGGGGGGTCAGGGAGAGCAGCAGCTCTGGGACTCGCAGACCCCCGCCCCCCCGGGAGCAGAGCTGGGGCGGTTGGTGTAGAGTCACTTCCCTGCCCGGCCCCAGCCCTTTCCCCCGAGTCTCTCCCCTCACCTGCAAGCTCCGGCTCAGGGGCTGCTGTCGGCAGAGCCCGGGGCTGCCCCAGGGGCTGGTTCCAGCCCCCGGAGAAAGTCCCCCCGGCTGGGCACAGAGGGGCGCTAGGGAAGGGCTCTCCCCGCACACACCCCGCTGGGGAGCAGCAGCGGCTCAGCCCCGGCTCCCGGCTCACAATGGAGGTGGCGGCAGAGTCTGACCCAGGAAGCTCAACCCCCGATGTGCTGAGCAGACAGGCAGAGAGCAGCCACCTCCCTCCCTTAGCAACAACCAGGGCCCTCTAGCGACAACATTTAATGAAAACCCTTTCCCTGCGCTCCCCACCGGCACAGAAATGCGTCAGGAGGGGATGCGGCCACAATCCTTCTCTCCATCCTGAGCACAGAGAAACCTCCAGAGCAAATGGACCGGAGACAAAGCCGCAGAGAAACCTTCCCCTGCTGCCAGCCAGGGATTCTGAGAGCCCCTGGGGCCTTTATTTCAAGGATGCCTCAGAAAATTCCTGACTGGAGTTCCTGGACTCTCCTCCTTCCTGTCCCCACCCCTTGTGTTCATCATGGGTAGGCATGCCATGCCAAGTCATCTCTTTGCTGGTCTCTTCCACCCAAATCAATTGGGCCAAGAACTCTGGCCTGATGGTCTGGGATGGGAGGCAGGTGGGATCCCTCCCACCTGCTCTCCGTGCCAGGGGTGTGTGGTGGGGCAAGGTGCACTAGTTCATGTTAGGGTAGTCACTCATGCATACCTGGAGTACTGGACATTCTGGTACCTCCAAGGCCTGGTAAGGCCTATTAGATACTGGGTTGCAGGGTAGGCAGAGGCAGCAGGTCCATACCCCTTTGCCTGTGATGAGTGGTTTATACTGCAGTCTGCCCCAGGGAACGGGGGCTAGATGGAGACTGGGCAGTAGCCAAGACTGAGGCGAAGTGGGGATAGTGGGTGGGGGTTACCCTGGGAGGGGGAGCCTCAGAGCTGTGAGGGGTTATTGCCAGGGGTCAACACCCCAGACAACAGGGCACTGGGTCCGGGAGGGACACAGGGGCCAAGTGGTAGCTGACACTGGCCTGCAGAGGGCACTCCAAGGCTGGAAATGAGCTAATTCCCAAGACGACCAGCAGGAGGCACCGCAGCAGTGAGTCCCACACCTTTACACCACCTTATCGTCCATTCATCCAATCCATACTTCTTTAACTTGCTGGCAAGAATACTGTGGGAGACCGTATCAAAAGCTTTGCTAAAATCAAGATATATCACATCCACCGCTTTCCCCATATTCACAGAGCCAGTTATCTCATCATAGAAGGCAATCAGGTTGGTCAGGCATGACTTGCCCTTGGTGAATCCATGTTGACTGTTCCTGATCACCTTCCTCTCCTCCAAGTGCTTCAAAATGGATTCCTTGGGGATCTGCTTCATGATTTTGCCGGGGACTGAAGTGAGGTCTGTAGTTCCCCGGGTTCTTTCTTCCCTTTTTAAAATATGGGCTCTATATTTGCTTTTTTCCAATTGTCCGGGACCTCCCCCAATCACCACGAATTTTCAAAGATAATAGCCAATGGCTCTGCAATCACATCAGCCAACTCCCTCAGCATCCTTGGATGCATTAGATCTGGACCCATGGACTTATGCATGTCCAGCTTTTCTAAATAGTCCTTAACCTATTCTTTCACCACTGAGGGCTGCTCATCTCCTCCCCATGTTGTGTTGCCCAGTGCAGCAGCAAAGGGAGGGGATGGACCCGACAGCACTCAGCCAGTGTATGGGGCTGCCCACCCTCCAACTGAGGGCAGCCTTGCCTCGTGCTTCTCTCACTTTTCTTGAGCAGGTCCTGTGGGAGAGTGCCTCCTGTCCATCTCTCACCCCAGGCCCTCTGGAATTCATCGTACCCGACTCCCAACAGCCTCACCGGCTGCTCCCAACATGTCACCTGAGTCGGCTGCATGACATCCAGCCAGTCCGTGTCTGAACCACACCCAGAAAATACCTGTACATGCTCATGTGTCACACCCTCAACTTTCTCACCTGCCTGTCCCACCCCAACACCACATCGTGGGACCTGCTGCTGCTTGAGGAGCGGGAGGAACGCCAGCCTCTACTCTCCTATGGTTCCATAGCCCGCCAGGGATATTAGTTGGCAGCCCCTCCATGGAGCCATAAGCACAGGCATGTACCTGGCGTGGTTCATGAACTCACCTAATTCCTGTCCCTTCTGCAGAGACGGAGACCCTGGCGCACATCTATGTAAGATGCATCAAGGTGCTTTTCCTCTTCCAGAACCTCTTACTAAGGTTCTGACTGCACTTCCCTGCGCATCCTAATTCATTCACACCCATCTGCAGCCCCCCAAAGTCATGAGATCTTGTCAACCTCCTTCTGGCACTGGCCAAGACAGCCATCCATCACTCCAGAAGGAGGACTCTGGACCAAGGGTTCTCTGCGACTGAGAAGCCTATTTCCACTCCCTCATCTGATCGTGCTGCAGGGCAGAGTTCCTCTGGGCACTGTCCACTGACTCCTTAGACACCTTTGAAGCAGTGGGTGCTGTCAGGGATTCTCTGCTCAGTTTCCCTTTCTGGATCCCTCATTTCCAACCTTTAATCTTCACTCCTGTTCCTACTTTTTCATTTGTTGTCCCCAGAATTCACTTGTGGCCTGGGTCCAATGACTGGGCCTAGACCTGTCTGCCCCAGCACTCTTAGTACCTGTTGTGCCAAGGAGATGCAGGCCAATGCCCATAAGGATACCACAATTGATAACTGGATTGCTGGCAGGGGTTGTTCTGTGTAAATAGTCATAGAAATAACCACTTTCTTCTAACACTGAATTGTAATGTTGGAATAATGGAAGCAGAATTAACCCTGGAGCTGCTCTGCATCTATCTGTCTCACTGCAGAGCTTCTGCCCAGGGCCCTTCCCAGCCCCCTCCTGCTGCAGTCCATGACCCGCAAATGGCCTTGGTGGGTGGGTTGGACATTTCTTGTGAGATCTTCAGATCAGATCTGCTACAAGTCAACCTCTTAGCCAGAAATTCTGGCATTGTTTGCTCTCTGGGTACTGTCTGTCTCCAACTCCGTGGGGCTGGCAGACCTGCAGCTCTATGGGGCTACACAGTGTGGGAATGTGGGGGAAGCGGCAAAAGAGCAGATGAGATACCTATTTAGCAGGAGCTGTCCTCATAGACTCATAGACTTTAAGGTCAGAAGGGACCATTATGATCATCTAGTCTGACCTCCTGCATGATGCAGGCCACAAAAGCTGACCCACCCACTTTCCCTTAACTCAGCTGTTGAAGTCCCCAGATCGTGATTTAAAGACTTCAAGTCGCAGAGAATCCTCCAGCTAGCAACCCCCGCCCCATGCTGTGGAGGAAGGCGAAAAACCTCCAGGGCCTCTGCCAATCTACCCTGGAGGAAAATTCCTTCCCGACCCCAAATATGGCGATCAGTAGAAACCCGAGCATGCAGGCAAGATTCTCCAGCCAGACCCTCATTGACCATTGATCCAGGTCCTGAGACTTGCAAAGATGTACTGAGTAGGGGGATTCACAGAGGGTGATTAGGGAGAATTGATCAGGGAGGGCACTCATTAATTATTGCGAGGGGGTAGGAGAGTTAATTGCTATCAGGGAGCTGAATGATTTTAGGGAAGCAGCAGAGAATTGATCTTTAGAAGGGAGAATTGATAATGTCTGAGCAGGGGAATATAGAGTAGATATCTCAGAAAAGAGATACAAGAACAATTCAACCTTAGGAAAACTTGCCTTGCAGTGAGAGACCAAAGTAAGGCCTGGTCTACACATAAAATGTAGGTCAACATAGCTACATCCCTCAGAGGTGTGAAAAATCCACACCCGTGAGCAGCTGCTTAGCTTTGCCAACCTAACTACAGATGTAGACTCAGCTAGGTTGATGGAAGATGCTACTGTCAATCTAACTACCATCACTCAGGGAGGTGGTTGTCCTACAGCACCGAAAAAAATACTTCCATAGCCTGCATCTGCATTACAGTGTAATGCTGGCATGGCTAAGGCACTGTAGCTATGCTGTTATTGTCCATATAGTGTAGACAAGGCCTTAAGGAGCTAAATC